GACTCCGACATAACCTCACCTGTCTAGATAGCTTTTACACAAATATAGATCCTCCATCACCGTTCCCCTATGGCCGTTATGACCTCCTCATCGTTACTCGTTAGTACCATGAGATTGGTGGCGGTGGAAACGAAGATGAGGTGCATGGATAGCTGAGATGGAGATTAGATTTCCAGAGATTGGCTATTTCAAGTGTATGACGGGGTTACAGGACTAAGCCAGCTCACTCAAATAGAGGAGGAGGGATAGTATTGCCTGGCTACGATAAATATCGAAAGAGGGTTTGAGAGTTGGTCTCTGGGATGGTTGCCATCATCTGCGGGAAATGAATTCAGAAAGAAAACAAAGAAAAAATGGATGCCTAAACCGCCTTGGCATTAGACATTGCGGGGACTTCAAAAGTAAGAGATCTGATAGGGGCTAGGGCCAGGTGTTGCGCGAACAATCCATGCCGTCTCGCCTATCTAGCTATCTGGAATAGGTTTATAATCTACCAAACCTCAATGAGATACATGCCCTTGATAGTGTGCCTAGAAATCAGTATATAGATGAAAGAGCTGTGAGGGAAAGTTGGGTTCAAATCCCAATCAGGGCAAAATCAATTTTTTTCTCTTTTACTAGAGTCTATGGCGCGAGAAGGCATAAAGGGTGGGTGTGTCAACTTCAGAGGAACTTTTTTTGTATGGGAATTAGAGAAAATTCCACCATTAGGCTAGGCGCTAGTACCATTATGGGAGTAGATCTCCCAATTTATATAGATTGATTGGCTGCAAACGCCGAAGTTTACACGCCTACCCACCATAGCTTCTCGATCCATAGCTAGCCCCTTTTTATATAAGCAGGCAACACCCACTTCTTTCTGACAGCCTTAGTAATGGCTTAATTGTAGCTGAACTCAGGACTTCTCACTCCCATTCTTATGTTTATCTGTCAATTAATGAAGTAATTAATCAGTTATGTTTATCTGTCTCGCTGGCGAGTGATCATCCATGAATCATGTGTTGCAAAATATCTCTCTTAGTTCATCCTATACTAGCCAACCATCCTTGGCGCACAAATGTCGTTTCTAGCCACCAACACACATGGGCGAGTGGTCTAACGGTTTAGCCCTCGCCAAAGAACACCGCGAGGTTTAGCCCTGCTTTCGATCACAGAAGGCCAGGGTTCGACCCAGGGGTGGGAGTAGTGCCAGTTCGTCCCGGAACCGCACAGTACTTTTTGTTCTTTTTTTGTGTATGAAAGAAGAGATACTATAACCACCCAAAACGTACCGCTTGGGGTATTTTTTTATTTTGATAATAGTGCGCAATACCCCCCAGTATAAAGCCGCAGTTGAATTTGACATTCCGTGGCATTTGAGCCCGTTGCCACGCAGAGGTCAGGGTTAGGTTCCGCTCTTGGCCAATCAGAGGGCTAGTAGGTTCGCAGAATTAAGGGCAGTACATATTAGATACACAGGAGATACAGTATTGATAAATAAAAATTATATCATATGCGCCTTCCCCCTCCCCTCCCATCCTGTGTAAATAGTAATCCCATTTAATTGTAAAGAGTTCCTAGTTTGCCTTATACAAGCTGGTAGAACAGCTCTGAGGGAGACAGATACATTGATTGATTGATTGATTACTTTCATTAATTGAGACAGATACATCATTATAGCTACGTGTAGTCCAGGAAAACCCACAATTATCTTGACTGTTTTATTTCAACCCCAAAAATAATAGGAAAAGAAAGGTGGGAATGTGGGAAGGAAAGATGGAAGGAAGAGGGAGGGCATCCAATAACCACACATTAATATTGAGGGCACGCACCACATATCCTATAAGACGGCATGATCTATGGTACCATTGTTTTCTCTATGATACCATTATTTTCACAAGCGGGTCTGGTTTACTTGACCTTGGAATACGTTGAAGTGCAATATTCACAGCTTCAATTTAAGACACAGAAGCTAAGCCTGCCCGATATCAAAACGCGACTGTTGAAAAAGCAAGGTTTTGAAGCAGGGTTTCATAAGCGTAACTCAAACCCAGCGTTCTTACTTAGTTCTGACTGACGATAATTGTAGATCCTACCGTCCGTTACACAGAAACCCAACCCGCTTAAAACGGGCCAAGGCAAAACCTCTGGTGGCGGTACTGAATACATGTTGCTCCCTATAATGTTGGCGTTGTACGTAGGTACATGTACTTTCCTGTGAGGAGCTATTGTTGCCTGTGATCGCACTTCCAACATCCCTAATTGCCTCGAGATCAGAGAAAGCTTAAATATAGGCCCTCGGTTATTCATTTACTTTTCATGTGATGCCCTAGAAACGGAGAAGCGAAGTGCAGCCTCGCCTGGCTTGCATTGATTACTCGAATTCAGAACTATGAGTACGTAAGAAGGGCCCAGTGGCGGTATGGGTTTCGATCCAAGCTTAGACTCGACTCCAGAGAGATCTCATGGTTCTAGAAGCGTGGGGGACTATTCTTGTTTTTCTTGGTTAGGCTTCGAGCGTGTTTTTCGTGTTTAATCACCGTAAGTCACTCGCAGAATTGAGATTCCAACCATGAGGCATGCACTGTTCAAAGCGCTCGTTTATCTCGTCTGTTTTGGCCGTATCGAGAAACAAGGTGATCAGTCTCTCCTACATAGACTGAACGTAAGCAGCGTGCACTAGAGTGCCTGACACCATCGATATTGCTTAGTAGTCTCCTCTATTGCCTATGTATGTGGCAGCACCCAGTTCAACGCGACGTCCCCGAAGCACATTTTTTTTCTTTCTCATGTTTTCTTTTTCTGTATCGTTCTTCAGCTCCAACTAAGGACGTAGCACGGGGTTGTAGGACAGGCTCAAAAAAAAAATCCGCGTCGTAGATACGGTCGTCAGAACAGCTTGCTTTACCGGTCATCAAGCCAGACTCGAGACCATGGTGTTCTATTGAAATCTCCACGGGTAGTATTTGATTTGTGCCCTCTCATCATCAGCATTCTCCGTAAATTCCCATTCGATTGGTCTTTGTTGAACCCAGTCATGAGAACGGCCCCATCCCTCGATATGTGCGTGCCTATCGATTCAATATCATGAGACGAGCAAGCGAGGAATCCTGCACTTTGATACTTGACGTCGTGTTACCCAAAGCCCACGCGGGGAGCTGGATTGCGCGATTTGGTGGCTCGAGGGGAAGAATACCTTTTTCCGGTATAGTGGGGTCTCCAGCTAACCAGCTAGCTGGTCGCTAAGGAATCATAACTGCTCACTCGGCTTCATGCGGGGGCAGAACTTATCGCCCCAGTCATCGTCGCCAATCGCTGGGAATGTGATATCATCGGGATCTGGGGGGGGGGGGGGGGGGGGTTGATGTGCATACCGTTGGATAGAGAATTTTGTTCGGACATGATTTCCTAAATGTGATCACCGTTGGATATGGTAGCTATAGTTTGGTGGTTCACGGAACATAAGATGAGTGGCTGGCTGTATGGCGTTGAATATTCTCTTTTGAGGATCGACATGGCCTTCCTCCCCCCCCCCCCCCCCCCGCAATTCGAAAAAAACTAGGATAAGGTTTTGACGTATCTAGGAAATTCCTAAACAAGTTGCAAGGACGTGGACCTGGCTTCCTTGTGCGCAGTGCACGAGGACTGCTCTGCATGGTCGTGACACAGGAATAAAAAAGGGTCCAATCTGAACGGTCAGAAAGCAGCAATATTCCCGAAGCCTAATAAGACAGACTCGTCGAATTGGGAGGTGGGGGACACTGCCAATAGCATCTGTTGTTCTGTTGTTGTTCTGTTGTTGTTCTGTTCGTTCGGCTTGCCGAAAGGTAGAAGGCACTTAAGGTCACATATGTGGGGCTTAGCACTCCGCACTCAGATCCGCGGTCCGTTAATTTCACGATGTCTGTTTGAGCAATAGTAAGGTATGTAACGTTCGCTTGTGCGTGCATTTCATTGGCTGGCGGATGCGAAGATCTTATTAAAATGTGTTTTTTCCCGAAGCCCTGGTTCCTTTCTCGCTTAATTACCCAATCAGCGGTGTGCATTCGCGGGAATTGGCAGCAGTATTGATGGCTCAACTTTGTTCCACCAGCACTTTGGCCAGCACATTCGCTGGTTCTTTTAAGCAGAGAGATTTATCATCATCATCACCATCATCATAACCTACAATTGCAGAATGAATAGACGGCTAAGCTCTATATGTGTACATGCAATCACAGAGAAATTCTAGTTATATCGAGCCACGTGAATTGATCACGAATAGATATCAATGGCTGATTGGCAGTCCAGGCGTCAAGTGGCTTGCCACAATCAACAACAAATGAAGGTGTTAGATCCGTACGTTACGTTTCAACACAAACTGATCCTATCAGATCCGGTCTGTCTTCTGATATCGAGCAATCGAAGAACATTCCCTCACAAATCTAATTACCCCATTACTGCTAGCGTGTGTTTTGACATTCAATGGGTGCATCGGGCTCCATGGAGACGGCTTTTGTATCCCTAGCTCTCCCCCCAATAGAAATTCTTCAGGGTTGAAGGTTTTTCTATCAAATTGCGAACCATAGGAAGTTCAGGCCATAACCAACTACCGTAACTGGTGCCCTAAAGCCGTTTATGAGCTGGGAACCCTTGTTTTTTTCTACTTCTTTGCAGTGGTTCCCGCGCATCTATCTACCTACCGGGAGAAAGTTACATTCTGTCTGATCCTTCGATTAAAATTCCCCAAAGGGGACGGAAACCTTTCGCCTCTTCTTTCGGGGGCGGCTCAACTGTAACGTCGATAACGAGAAAACTCGCCTTTTAAACGAACGTCGGAGGAGAAAGCCAAGTAGAGGATAGGAGTTGGGTGCGTGTGCCTTATATAGAGAACTAGCTATGGTACTCTTTCATCCGATCCGGCACTCGTACCTACTGATTAACGAAAGAAAAAAAATCGTGACCTTTAACTACATACATAGAAAGTTCATCACAGCCCTCACTTCTATCAGCAGAGAAAGTTTCACCTCTTCAATTCCACGATGCCTTCCTCAATAATCTCCCGACTCTTTAAGAAAAAGCAGAGGTCTCGAAAACCAATACCCGAGATTAGCGAAGACCCAGCGGCGTCGGGGAATAAACGAAGGTTTAGAATGTTTGCTACTAGATCTAGTACACGTACAGCATCAAGGACCCCCACTGCCATGACAGATAAAATTCCGATATCGAGTGAAACCGAGAAGGAAAGTTTTAATGATTGGCCGAATTCTGAGGGCGTAAGTTTTTTTTACTGCTATCTTAACTTTCTTTTTCCTTTTGATCAATATGATTGCTGATATCAGATGAAGTTTGAAGTATTCCATGAGGAGAGAACACCAATCGAACTGAAGGTTACTGGGGAAATCCCCGAATATGCTCTGTAAGAACTCTCCTCTAGTTTCACTATACTTTATAGCTATGTAAAGCCTTTACTAACAATACTTCTCCAGTGGGGTTCTCTACCGTACAGGACCAGGAGGATACAAAACCACCACCGATAAAGGAGTAGAAATAAGCATGTCTCATTGGTTCGATGCCTTTGCCCAAACCCATCGTTTCAACCTGATATCACCAAAGAAAGTGCTCTATAACTCCCGCCACACATGTGACGGAGTCCTCCAAGGCATCCGTGAAACTGGAAAGATACCTTCTGGCTTCTCGTTTGCTCAGCGTGATCCATGTCAAAGCTTCTTTCGAAAGTTCGTGGCCACATTCGCCCCAAGGCCCGAAGTAAAAACACCTGATGGCGTGAACATCTCTGTCACCGTGTCCACAGATTACCCAGGATACCCAGCAGACGAAAAAGGCCGGAGTCTGTATATCAAGACTGATGCCGCAGCAGTGCAACGACTGGATCCAGAAACCCTTGAACCAGTCGGCCTGGCAAGGCAAGCTGTCCTACACCCTGACCTTTCTGGTCCACTGTCGGCATCACATTCACGGACATGCCCAGTGACCGGTGATGTCTTCAACTACAACCTCACTCTCGGGCATAAACCTATATACCGTATCTTCAAAGTGGCTAAAGACACGGGCAAAACCGATATACTAGCCACAATCACGGATGCACCGGGAGCATATATCCACTCCTTTTTCCTCACCCCACGATATGTGGTGATCTGCGTCTGGGGATCACACTACGCTTGTGGGGGCATCAAGATGCTGTATCACCGCAATATCATGGATGCACTGGAACCCTATGATCCTCGGAAACGAAACATGTGGTACGTGATTGACCGCACCGATAGCAGGAGGGGTGTCGTATCATCACATCCCGGCGAAGCTTTCTTTGCATTCCATACCGTAAATGCATGGGAGGAAGGGGAAGAGATTGTCGCAGAGGTGCCGGTGTATGGGGATATGGATGTGCTGAAGAAGTTTTACGTCAGTAACCTGAAGGGGGATGAGAAGTCTGCGTGGGAGTGGGTGGAGAAGGGGCGGGCGGTGCTTACTAGGTGGAGAATGGATACGGGGAGCAGTGGGAGTGGCGCTGTGAAGGTATGGGAAGAGGGAAAAGAGCTAGGGATGGAGCTGCCTACAATCAATCCGAACTTTGTCACGCTACCACATAGGTTTGTATCCCATATTAAACATGATAAACTTGTAGTATTAACTTGTTTTGATAGATTTACATATGGCCTCCTCAACAGATGTAAATCCACCCTCCTCGACGGTATCGTCAAGTACGATTCCAAAACCCACACCACAAAGATATGGGAAGAACACGCACACACCCCCGGCGAGTGCATATTCGTACCCTCGCCGGCCCCAGACGCAGCAGAAGATGACGGCGTGCTGCTGACTGTAGTACTCGACGGGCGTGCCAAGAGGAGCTACCTGCTGGTCCTAGACGCACGGGATCTGAGTGAGGTTGCGAGAGCGGAGATGGAGACAGCTGTCGGGCTGGGCTTTCATGGCAAGCATGTTGGTAGGGATGGACCGGGATTGGCGGAGTTTTAAGTTTTGGCGGGGTTTGTGAATATCGTGTCCCCTAGGTAGCTCTGCTTTCTTTTTTTTGTCGTTTCTTTACCGGTCTTTTCTTTTTACGCTGCATTATTATAGCTCTCCGCATTCTTTTTAACACTGCATTCTTTTAACGCTGCATTTTTTTATTTTATTTTTTAAACTCCGCATTCTTTCCTCCCCTCATCTTGTCCTTTCGTTTTCTTTACTTTATCTTATGAGCGGAGGTTCTATATTTTATCGGCGTCGGAGTTGATGGTTTGGCTGCAATTGGATTAGACAAGGAGGAGTTGGTAAAACTGAGATATATTACTACTTTACATATAATTAAAAAGAACCCTATAAGCACGATTCAGTGGTGTAGTGGTATCACGGGCGCTTGCCAAACAAGTTTGCGCCCGACCCGGGTTCGATTCCCGGCTGATTCATCAGCTTAACATTTCCTATGTACTCCAGGTTGGGGGCTAAGAAATGTTTTTTTAATTGTTAATAGTTTGCTAGCAAGATACAGAAGAATATTTCCTATGTACCCCAGGCTGGGGGGGCTACAGAAATCTTTTTCGTTGATTTTGCCTGTGTCCTGTACCTACATGTATCCCTGAGAGCGTCCACAAAGGACCTCCCTAGAAGGATGGAAGCAGGAGGGTTGAGGACGAGCCTAACTACCCTTTACCTTACTATCACCAACATAGAAGTCCATCTTGCACTAAACTTTTACACTCGAGGTTTTCTCAGGATCACAAAGATCAAGTCAAGACCAAGTTCATTTAGCCGGCCAATCAATCACTGCAACGATCCTAGAACTCCATCTCGGTCCCATCCGCGCTCTGAATATGTACCCTTATTTTTGCTCTTTCCCATGAAGTCAAGTCAATTGGTTGGTATTAGTATTACTCCGCTCCAGAAGCACATTCCCAGGCCCGCACCACCTGACATGACCGACTGATGTGACTGACGCCCAGGACTAATAATCTAGGTAGCGAATAATCAATCCAACTATTTGAAGACCCCTCAGCTTTACCCGGCCCAGCCAATCCCAATCTCAATCGAATCCGCTGCAGGGTCCCATCCATTCCCATCCAAGACAACCCTCCATCCATAATTTCTTACAACCACAACCCCACAATACCCACCAAAAATGTCAGACTCAACACCCCCACCACGTGCTATAACGCCGCCGCCCGCAAAACGCCTCAAACTCGACCTTGACCCTGTCACCCCCGTCACTGTCGATGTCGCCGTTGCTGCAACTACAGAAGCAGTTCCGCAGACAGAGACTATTTCACAGGTTGAGCTGGAGCACGCAGTGGGCATTACGGAGTATATTGATGCGGAGATCCGTGGGTGGAGTGGGATATTGAAACAGAGGTATGTGGGCTACTTGGTGAGGAATTGGGGTAGAGGTAGTGGGCATTGGGGTAGAGGTAGTGGGGAATTGGGGAGATTGGGGGGATTGGGAATTGGGATAGTGGGGAATTGGGGAATTGGGGAATTGGGGGGGAATTGAGGTAGTCTCGAGGGAACAGAGGCTGACTGGTGATGCTGGGAGAGAATAGATATACAGATTTCCTAGTCAATGAAATCGACGAAGAGGGCAATGTGGTACATTTAACAAAGCTCACGGTGGACGGACAGCCCGCAGGGAATGAGAAGCCGAGACTCGCACCTGCAGCTCCGCCGGCGCCGCATATACCAGAGCCCACTTCTACTGCGGCCATAGCCGCTGCTTCGAAGGCGGCGAAAGCGGCGGAGGCAGCGGCGTTCGAGGTATGCCCCCCTCTCCCCCGCAGCTTTCGCAACAATACTAACCTCCACCACAGCTCAGCGCCGACGACTTCACCGCGCTCTCAAGCCTCATAACCCCCGAGATCGCCTCCTCCTGCGTCACCCTCTACCGCGCCATCCTGTCCGCCCCCACCCCCGTCGAGCTCCCAACCACGACCCTCACGACCCCCGCCATCGCCGCCAAAGACGCGCGCTCGACCCTGCACGCCCTCGTCCGCCGCCTCTTCTCCTCCAAACTAGAGACAACAACTCTCACCGGCGACAACGAGAACCAAATTACAATCAAGCCGTCCACAGCCTCATCCCGCAACCCGCGCCAGCATCGCGGTAACCGTGGCGGCGCACGACAGAAGGCTCCTGCAACCAAGGCCGCGGACCGCGGCGGTGACTTTTGTCATTTTCTGCTGTACAAGGAGAATAAAGATACCATGCACGCCGTCAAGATCGTGCAGAAGCTGCTTGGCCTGCGAAATGGCGCACAGGGCCAGATTGGGTTCGCGGGGACAAAGGATAAGCGCGCAGTGACGGTGCAGCGGTGCTCCGTGTACCGTGTCGACGCTGCGCGGCTTGCCCGACTTAACAGGGAAGGGGCCGGAGCACTGCATGCGGGGACGCGGGTGGGGAACTTTGAGTACAAGACGCATGGGCTGGAGCTGGGTGATCTGGGCGGGAACGAGTTTGTGATTACACTGCGGGAGTGTGCTGTTGCTGCGGGGGAGACCCGGCCGCTGAAGGAGGTTGTGGAGGAGGTTGTGGACCGCGTGAGGAAGGGTGGGTTCGTCAACTATTTTGGGCTGCAGCGGTTTGGGAGCTACAGCGTGGGGACGTGGGAGGTTGGCGTGAAATTGCTGAGCGGCGACTGGCACGGCGCCGTCGGGCAGATATTGCACTACGATGCCGCCCTGCTCCCCTCCCCCGACTCCCCCGAGTCCTCCTCCGAGAACACGAACAACAATCGAGATGACATCTCCCGCGCCACCGCCATCGCCGCTTTCAACTCCAAAGACTACGCCAAAGCCGCGAATCTCATCCCCTACAAGTACTCCGCCGAAAGCGCCATCCTCCACTACTTTGCTGCCAAACCAGCGTCAACAGACTACTGCGCTGCCCTGGGCACGATCCCGAGAGCGCTCAAGACAATGTATGTCCACGCCCTGCAGAGCTACGTGTGGAACCATGTTGCGAGTGCCCGTGTACGAATGGGGATGCAGGTGCTGCCGGGGGACTTGGTGCTTATTCCGCAGGACGGCGATGCCCCCGCCCCAACCACTGAGGGCACCCCCGATGAAATGGAGGTGGACCAGAACGGCGAAGTCGTCGTCCACGCCCCCACCGCCACTGGCCGCAACGGCCGCCGCGCCGGGACATTCCAGCGCGCCCGCGCCCTGTCCGCCACCGAAGCTTCCAGCGGCCAATGGAGTATCCGCGACATAGTCCTGCCCACCCCTGGCTGGGACGTGCTATATCCGCAGAACGAATTGTTGGAGGTGTACAAGAGCGTTATGGCACCTCATGGCTTGGATCCATTGCAGATGAAGAGGGGGGTGAAGGAGTTTAGCTTGCCAGGGAGTTATAGGTGTGTTGTTGCTAGCTTTTTAGGGGATAGGTGTGAGGTAGAGGTGAAGGGGTGCAGAGGGCTAGAGCAGGTTGTGGCCACGGATTTGGAGGTGTTGATGGCGAAGGAGAAGGGGGAGCAAAAGGGAGATACCACCGCCACCACTACTACCACAGCCGGAGACGGGGAAGAAAAAACAGCAGTCGTGCTAAAGCTCTGTTTAGGTACCAGTACTTATGCGACAATGGCGCTGCGCGAATTTATGCGTGAGGGCATCAGAGCTTACAAGCCGGAATTTGGCAGGTAGTTAGTTTACTGGCTAATTGGGGGGGGGGGGGGGGAAGGAAAAAAGTTTGGCATGTACTATTAGGGCCTCTACTTACTATGTAGTTAGCGGAAACAAAAGTTCTGAATTGAAGTAATAGACAGCAAGTAGAATACCGGTGTTGAGGTGTTGAGGTGTTGAGCTGGCGATGTAGTGGTGAGATGGTTGTGTGAGTTTTATGGTGGTTGTGAATTTATTACAAAGGACGGAGGAGTCTACCCAGCTATTTAATTAAACCAACCCACCATAACGCCAGCTATATATCGTCTCATCGCAACCGACCGCGTACCCGTTCCTCCATCACTGCTGTCCCTTATCGACAGGGAGGCCAGGCGGTTAATTATGGTGCACGTGGTCATTGACCGTTCATGGTCTGTTCTGTGTTCAGTTACAACTCTACAGTACCAGACAAGTGCCACTAGAGTATATGCATGCGAGTCCTAGGGTCTGGGAAAACGGCATACACCAGCGGGTAACATATCCCGCCTCTCACTCCCACCGGCCAACCACAGGATTCCTTTCATCATGAACTCTCACTCGATCATGTTTTCGAACCAGGGGGGGCTGTGACTGAAATTATTTTGTTTCTTCACAACGATGTATATGTGTATATGTGTAGGTCTGTGTGTGTGGTTATATGGTATAATGCTATTGATATTGACACGCCGGTTGGAATATGTAGGGTCTATGTTAGGGATTGCAGTAAACTACACATGCGAAAAGTCTTCCCCGCAACAAATTTTTATTATTATTATTATTATTCCCAGCTGGCATACTTACAAAAGAGAGCTTAACTTACTACTCACTACTCCGGCTGTGGTTTTCACAAGGAACAGGTCAACAGCTAGAGGTGAGTTTGTTTTTGGATGCTCCGTTATCAGGTTAGGATACGCCAGTATATACTCGACACTTTATCACGAAAGGAGAAACACTCAAAATTCCTCTAGGGTAAAAAAAAAAAGAAGAGAAAAAGCAGTTCCGTCAGTCACAAAAGAAGGTCAAGACTTCCGCAATTAACTATATTCCAACCCCGGACTACTCCCAAAACCCCCAGTAGCCAATTAACTATTGATACACAAGACCTCGAGCTACTGAACCAGCGAACAAACACCAAACCACCGACTAAAACGAACCCAACATTACACCGTGCAGCGAATACATATAATATAGCTACATGTGCACAGTCCTTCCCCCCCCCCCCCCCCCTTTTTCCTCCTTTCCCTCCCCTTCTCCTCCCACGCTCTACCGCTTCTTCCCCTTAAACCTCCCCGTCCTTCCATTCGCCGCCTTGGCGCCCTTGCTCCCCCTAATATTCACCCTCCTATAATTCGCATGCGCCTTCTCCGAGATCTTCCTCGCCTTCCTCTCGACGACGGGCACAGCGACCGCCTTCTTCACCGGCTCGTCGGGCAGGTTATCCAGGTCCGACAGGTCCTCGTCTGAATACCCTGCGCCCGGGAGCTCCGCGTCTTCAGGGTTGGGGGGCGGCGGGGCGTCGTCGTCTACTAGCGATGCTGTAGTTTTGGCGACGGGGCGCACTGGGTGGTTTATTAGCATGAGTATGTATAATAATAGTGAAAGGGAGAGAGGGGGAAACATACTGATAACGCGCCTATGCTGCCTCTTCAGCCCCTTCTTCTTCCACTTCCGTGTCCTATCCTCCTTCTCATCCCCGCTCTCCTCCTCCTCCACCCGCTGCTCCTCCCTCCACGCCCCCTCCGGCAACGGCGGCAGCCCCGTCTCCGGATCATTCTCCTCCACCTCCACCTCCACGGGCACCTCCACCTCCAGCACCCTCTTCTTGACCGGCGCCTCCGCCCCCGCGCCCTCCATCTCGCGCTCCATCTCGCGCATCGCCTCCTCATCGTCACGATGCGCATCATCCTCCAGCCTCTTCAGCTCCTTCACCATCTCACTCAGCCCCTTGACCAGCGGCCGCCTCCTTGGCCCCACCACCGCCGGGCTCTCTTCCAACGACCCAATGAACGAGCGGCGCAGGAACGCCGGCGTCGAAAACACATCGCGCTGCGTGCCGGGCGTCTTCTTCGTCCCCGGCGTCTTCGGGGTACCCATCTCCCCCGCTTTGCGCTTTCGCGGCGTCGAGAGGGCCGGCGAAGCGGCGTTAGCGCCCGCCTTTCTGGGCGAGGGCCGCAGCGTGCGCTTGTGCGAGGGGGTGGCGGCGGTGTCGTCGGCGTCGGCGGCGGCGCCAAAGGACTCGAAGATGCCGAGGACCTTTCCGGTCTTCTGCGGGGTTGGGCCGACGGAGTCGCGGATGCGGTTTCCGAAGAGGCGGCGGCCGCGGGTGGAGAGCGGGGAGTCGTAGAGGTCTTTGTGGAGCTGGGAGGGCTTTGAGGGGGTGCGGAAGATGGAGGTGGAGACGGAGGTGGAGGTTGTGGGGCGGGAGGGGATTGTTGTGGTTGTGGACTTTACGCTGCTGCTGCTGGGGGAGGGGCCGGGGCCGGCGGCGAAGGGGTTCGTGGGGTCGTAGGGGATTGCGGTGGGCGTGGTGGTGGTGAACCTTGAGGGTTTTGGGGGGTCGGCGGATTGTGAGGACTTTGATTTTGGCGCTTTGGAGGAGGGCTGGATCTTGTAGTATTCGGTGTATTTCGCAGCTGTAGACCGTTCTTGTTAGCCATTGTTTTCATATCCAATGTCCCTCCACTCTCCCCATATCTCCAAGGCATTTCTCTCCAAACATCCAGTCAATCACTAACCAATCACTTTGTCCCTCTTGATCTCCTCCCGCGTCGGCTTCCTGCCGCCATTCGCGTCCGCAAACGCGCGTTCCCACTCCTTGAGCTCCTGCCTGAGGACCTTGTGCGCCTCGGTGCCTGCCATTTCGTGTGTTGGCTCGTGGTAAGGACTGTTGCAGTTGGAGTTGGCGTTGGCGTTGGCGTTGAGGTTGAGAGAGGTTGAGAGAGAGAGCGTCTGTCTGGGGTAAAAGAATGTGAAACAAAGAAGAAGAGGAAGAAGAAGAAGAAGAAGAAGAAGAAGAAGAAGAAGAAGAGAGGTGGTGCGTGCCAAGAGGCAACTTTCAATTTACGCGTTGCGTTGCTGCGAGGGGAACGCGTCTCGCCTGGGGATGCTGCTTTGGGCGTGCCAATGATTGCTGGGCGGCTTCTGGGGTGACGGGGTGACGGGGTGACGGGGTGACGGGGTGACGGGGTGACGGGGTGACGGGGTGACGGGGTGACGGGGGACTGCGATCGAGGGAGGGGGAGGGGGGGGTACTGGGGGGTTGGAATGGCGAGGGCCGGTGGTGGTGGTGGTGGTGGTGGTCTGGGAGTGATCGTGAGGGAGGGGGGGCGAATACTATTGCTCGAGATTCTACATACAAGGAAATGCAAGTTTTGTCAGGTACTGGAGTTGTGGCGCCGTCTTTGAAAGCTGCACGGCAAACATGGCCTCGGTTTGCTGAATTACATATATACTACACGGCCGTTCACCGTCGCTTGACGAATACTGCCTGCCACTTGACGAACAGGGGACTTTGGGCCAATAGACGTTAAAACGACTGGACATCTCGCAGCTTGGCTGTCGCTTGACTGTTTCTTGCCATACTTGGAATCCCTGTTCGTCAAGTGGCAGTCAGTATTCGTCAAGCGACGGTGCACGACTGACCGTACTTCCTACTGTTTTCCCTGTCAGGGACCATACAAGGTGCCAATCAAGAGCGTAAACCGCACGACCACCGGAAATGGTTTACAGCGACAGCCCAGCACCCAACCATACCCGGCATGATCGTGATAGAAACCCAGTGAAGCAACCATAACATTGAAGGGGAGGGCATAACAAATCCAACCTAAATACCAGTTGTGGTCCAATTCAAAAGCGACAATCCCTGATGCCGCCGGTTTTCTGCGTACTTACCCCGTGGAATTCCGACCCTCGATCTTTCAGCATGCGAGATGGCCTAATTATAAGCAGAACGCCATATTTTGCGCTCGCCGGCCCGGCCCAGATAGCACTGCAGAGTGTGATGTTGGTGCTTGTCAAGCTAGTATAATGTGAACAGATACACCCCTCAGTACGGCCACTGCCCCGGAGCTAGAACAGTCGAAAGTTTGATCCATTACAAGAAGTAAAGTTTCTTCTGTAAACAAAGCACAAAACCCAGCCAGCCAGAACTGCTATACGTTCTTAACCCGGAACCCCCAAAGGGCTAGGCTCCGGATCCCCCGATCTCTTCAGAAACACCCCTCCCCCCCCCCCCCCCCCCCCAAAAAACCACCACCACCACCACCAACAACAACAACCACTCTATAAGCCATGGCACTCCAGCCCCACCTCTCTAAACCGCAATTAAACGCATCTTACTCCCATCCTACCATCCCAAAAAGCGCCCTTCACCGGAGTCCACCTCCGGACCAACGTCTGCACCTGATTATATATGCAATCAAACACAATTGAGAGCAGCCTACGTATACATATGCTAGCTAGGCAACTCCACGGCGTGTCCCACCGCCCGGGTTAACCAGCGTTACCCCCCCCGTAACACTCCTCCGGGCCACTCCCACCCCCACCCCCACTCCGGCTCGTCCGAAAAGCCGAGTGAGAATCCATGATTAACTCTCGTGGAAAAAACCGTCTCCGCAGTCTTGGTCTCCTCGCCAAGATGCACTGTTAGCAAATAGATGCCCCGAAGCCTGAATCCATTCCCCCCCCCAGGAGCCCAGCGCGGCGGCGGCGGCGGCGGCGGCGGACTAGAAATTTCGTATGTAGTCGTTTTCGTGCTGGTGATCCGGTGTTGGTGTCTGTGGATTTCGGCCCGTCTCGGGAGCGGAGATTTCCTGGTTGTCATGGTACGGCGGTTCGGGTTAAAAGCGAAGTTGTGTACAGAAGTGGGACAATATCACGCTTCTTGGAGTGATGAGGCTAGCTCGCCCGCCATATATTCCGTGGACAGAATTTATTCTGGAGCATTGATATATTCAGGGTCTGCTGCTACCTAGTAAAACAACAAAACATATATGGTGTCTCTAGTGCTACGGAAGTTTGATAGAAGGGCAGTTAGATAATAAAAAGTTTGATTATTAGATTTTACAGAGAAGGTTCCAAACATTATATATACAGGTAAGACATCACAATCGTAGTAGTCATAACTCACTGTGGTATAGTCACTCCGGGACCAAACGCCAGTGCCATATTAAACCTTCTCCCTCAATGCCTCCTCTCTCCTCCTCAGTTCCTCCTGCCCTAACCTCCTCAATTCCTTCCTCCTCCGCCTACTCTCCTTTATACCAAAGCTCTTGCCCAATATCTCCGCCACCTCCTCCAACGTAAATCCACTCAGATCCGGGTACAGGAAGATGACAAACAGCCATCCCAGGAAGCACAGGATCGCATAGAACCCGAATGCCCCACTAGGGGTCATCTTGTCCATCATAGTCAAGAACGTCGATCCCAAGATAAGATTCGCACCCCAGTTGGTAGCGGTTGCCATGCCTGTTCCGTATCCTCGCACGTTGTATGGGAATACTTCGCTCTGGCCGACCCATGCAATGTTGCCAATACCGAGAGCGTAGAACATCACATAGATGATCTGAGAGGCGAGGATGAGAATGGCCCAGCGGTTGCCGCCGCCGCCAATGACATCCCCGGCGTCGTTGCGGGGGAGGTAGTGGAACGCGATGGCGCAGATTGTGAGGCCGGCGGCACAACCCCAGAGGGTGCCGATGAGGACTCGGCGGCGACCTATGCGATCGACGACGAGGAAGGTAACGCACTAGTGGAGGAACTGCGTGAGCTTTCGTTGGTGATGTTAGGAAAAGGGGGGGGTGCTTACGGTCATGACAAAGTTTGTACCGGCAACAATGAGACTGACGGCTGTAGGGTTCTCGAAGCCGACACTCTTGAAGATGGTGGCGGAGAAATACATCAATGAATTAAACCCGGAGAATTGCTATAATATTAACACATTAGCACTTGCTGGCATTCCTTATAGTAGGTATATGTATAGCGAACCTGAATTCCCTGCAATCCACACGCAATAATCAACGCCCTCAAATTGGATGGCACAGTGTAAAGACTCTTGAAGTCGCTCCATGCCTTCTGCGAAGCTGTTCCAGGCCTTCTGTCCTCAGTGAATTCTTTGATATATGCCACTTTCTCATCCAAGTCTCTATCGGAGGCACCTTTATAAATCTGTGACAAGATGGTCTTTGCCTGCCCTTCAATACCTTTCCGGATCACTTTCGGCATCACTTATGTTAGCGAGAAGCTCATAACTACCCGGGGCGGGGAGGTACATACAGTAACGAGGGCTTTCAGGAAGCCAGTACAGTATGACAAACTGGGCAGCAGCCGGAACAGCGCCGATACCTACCATTATGCGCCAGCCGCCGTGTACATGTGTAAGACCTGCGCCGATAGCATAGGCAACAACCTGACCAAATGTGATGAAGAGGACGTTGATGATGATCATTCGCCCGCGGTAATTGGCCTATGACAAACACCGTACTAGATTAGAAACCGGATTTGATATACCAATATTTAGCAGATAGATTTAATCCACTTACCGGTGAAAGCTCAGCAAGATACAACGGAACTATCAAGCTTGCTAATCCTACACCTATACCAATAACAAATCGTCTACATACGCTCGTCAGTAACCAACCAAAGACCATAAAAAACGGAAGTCAGCTCACCCAGCAACCATCAACCACACACTCCCAGAGAGCGCCTGCATGATCGCCCCGACGATAAACACCACATCCGCAATTGCAACAACCCATTTCCTACCAATCTGATCTGCGAGCGCACCGGCCACAATCCCCGCCAGGAGTGCGCCGAGGGAGGTGGCAGCGGTGATGAACTCCTTCTGCTGATTCGAGAGCTCGGCAGGGCCGAGGTCACTGCCGATCACTACGAGGGCGCCGGAAATGACTCTGCATGGGCGCTATTAGCTTTTTCCACCCAACTATCCGGACTATTGTTATTCGGAAGAATTAAATACCCGGTGTCATATCCAAAAAGTAGCTACAATTTTTCTCTGTCAGCTTGCGATACTATGCTGGCGATAGTTACTGGCGCAATGCCGGCGGACTGGGAGAAAGAAACTTACACCACTGATACCAGCGACAAACGTCAAAACCCACATCCACACCGTTGGTGTCTCAGAAGTCTCTTGCGCCGACGCGTCATCCCGAATGGTAGGGACCGATCTAGCATCCTCGCGTATCGAAGCCTCGTTGCTTTTCGAGGCCGAGCCAGACCGTGAGCCTTGGTCTTCAATACCAAAATTGGTGCTCATGATTGTTGAAGAGTAGTGTGCAAAGAAGGTGATGATGGAAAGGAGAGAAAAAAAAACCCAGGGGCGACTATCCTTTATGAAGGGCTTTCACTTCATGCCGTTCTCGTCCAAGCTATCTTTGCGGGGTACATACACAGCATAGCGGGATCGCTGGGTTGAGCCCAAGGTTGGCATGTTAAACCGCCCGCCCTGGAATGATATCTAAATCCACCCTGCTGAGCCGGGGTGTGTACCTCTCTGTATCTCTCGCCGCTCTGGATACCATCCAAAAACTCTCACCCGAATCGTACATGCATCTTACGACGGACCAATTAGCCATGCCATCATAACTGGCCTATCGCCTCAGCTACCGAGTCTCCCCTACCAGCAGAGTACGTACCAGTGCTCGTAAAGTACATGTACCATAAAGCAACCGAAGTTATCCGCAGCTTGGCCGGACAGCTCCCCGACTAACGATTTACAGAAGTAGTAATGATGATGGAAATCGTTGTTTCTTTTGCTTTTCAAGAAAAAGTTATTCATCGCGTGATGGTTTTTGTATCGATAAGAAGTACGTTTCCAAGATCACCCCGTTTTCGATCCTGGA